ACACACACACACACACCCTGCAGGTCTGCATCCATCACATTCTAGCACTTCTCTGTTGAATGTAGGAATATTGTGGGTAAATATTTGTCACATTTATTGCCTGACCACTATAGCTCTTACCCTCTCCATCCTCAGACGCTGTGCACATTTACACATTTTTAATAACTGCTCTTGTAACATATTTAATTTGCTGTATTGCACTGCAATGATCCAGTTTCCACATACACACATCTATTTAATGCAACTGTAATGTTACTGCACTGGAGTCTGTTCCAGCTGGTCCGCTACATACATACCATGCCAGCTGCATGTCCGATTGTCCCGGCGGGCGGTGCACTGGCACCCGCAGTACTGCTGACGCTGTTAGGGTGGCGTATGTGGACAGCTGGCCCAGCTACGATGGCAGGGGGGTTGCCGCCGGGTGCTGGTTTGACTCCCTGCTGCGGGGGCTGGGTCAGGGACTGCTGACTATTCAGCAAAGACAGCCTCAGGGCCGGGAGGCTCTTCTGTTGACGGGCAAAGAGAGGCCAGAGATTGCAGTCAAAGAGCAAAACAGACATGCATGAGACAATACCATACAAAGCTGCAAAGACAAATACTGCTGTGGTCACTGGCTGATTTAGCATAATGTTATCTCAAAAACATGGTTACAGGCAATACTTTTTTACATCATGTAATGTGGTTTTATACTGATTTGATTTCAGGATGAACCTACAGGTTGTTTAAAATTGTATACGCCATTCATGAAATATGGCTATTAGCCATTTCTCATAACCCACCGACCTGAGGAGCTAATGTTGCTCCATACAGACTATTTCAGGCAGATTTTTGACGTAAGCAACCTAACATTGCATGACAATATGTGTTTGTGGCTGGGTTGGGCGCCTTGATGTGACGCTCATCATGGTTGGCTGAAGAAACCTGCTGGCTACTGGCAGGGACGACTGCGGGGGCCACTGTCACACACAGTCAGAAGTCAGGCCAGAGGGGTGCGTATATGTTGTGTGTGTGTGTGTGTGTGTGTGTGTGTGTATGATTCTACTTTCAGGCCTAGCCATCACTGGCCCTGACGCCAGAACTACTTTAGGGGGGTAAGATTAGGAAAATACACAAGAGGGCCAGCTTGAGGAGCCAGGTTAGGAAATGATTTAAGGGGCAGGTTTAGGAGCAGTTTAGGAAACGATTTTATGTTAGGGGTCAATTTAGAAAGAAGCTAAGGGGCCCAGTCAACTCTCAGTGTAGGACCCAGTAAAGGGGAATACTTAGGTTAATTGTTAGGTAGCCAGTTTAAAGACCAGCTAGAAATCAGGTTTAAGGAAGTGTATGGAAAGACTATTTAAATAACCTTCAGAAGCAGTTTAGGGGTCAGAGTAAGGGATCAGTTCAGGTA